CCGGCCAGGCAGCAGCGGGGACTGCAGGCACCTGGAGCGGCACGAGCAGAAGAGGGAGAAGCGGGAGGTGCAGCAGATCCAGCAGATCCAGCACCTGGAGTCCTTGTAAGGGGGTCGGAGGGGAGCCCCGGGACAAACCCCGCTGTGGCTGGGGTGCAGCCAGTGCCCCCCCCCCTCGCCGGCGTGGGGCCTGTCCAGCAGGCAGCTCCCCGTTTTTGCGGCTGGCTCTTGCTCCCGTGACAGGCTGAAGCTAGAGACCCGGCTGACGGGCTCGCCAGAGTGGGATCGGCGCGCCTGCTGGGCGTTTGCAAATAGATCCTGACGCTCTGCTGAACATGGCCCCTGGGAGGGCACTGGCAATCTGGATTGATACCGAGCGGCGGCATTTGTTCCTAGCTTTGGCCTTTATAGATCATCACATAGGCCGATGATTGTGTTTTAGAAATGAAAATTACGGAGGGGTTGGAAAAGTCAGCGAGTTATGGGAATGGGACCATTTTATTGTGTGTCCACCTGCTTTTGACTCCCTTCGAATTCTGGCTGATCATTGCCAATGTGGTGCTTCAAAAGGCTGCTCTTTTTTTTTTTTTTTTTAGAGGAATGTTGCATGGAAATGCCCTCTGAAAATGTGCATGCATGTGTTGCAAAAACCATGTTCATGGGCTCCCAAATCTCTTCTGAAAGTAATGGATGTGCAGCCACCTATTCCGTACCGGTTACTTTTGTTCCTGACAGGAATAATCAGAGCAGGAGTTTAATTTACAAAATCTAGGAGGCCCAATCCCAAAAGATGCTTCTCACTTGTTCCTCTTTTGGAGGAATATCACTCAACTTCCAAAGTTATCTAAGTTCCCCCCAAAATCTGTGTCCCTAAACTTTTAGCATTGAAACTCATATGCATTAGAAATGCAGAAACATTACACTGGTGCTATAGTAGGAGGAAATACACTGAGGAGTCAGTCCCATAGCTTTTTCACTTCCTCGCATGAATAATATTTTTATGGGATCAGTTTGGGCATTGTAACACATAGGCTAGACTGTCGCTTTTGCAGCCGCTTTTGCAGAAAAACTTGCCAGCTGTCTACACTGGCCGCTTTGAATTTGTGCAAGAACACTGAGGATCTAATGTAAGATTGTCGGTGTTCTTCCGCAAATACAATGACTCTCCCGTTCGGGAAAAAGCCCTCTTGCGCAAATGCTTTTGCGCAAAAGGGCCAGTGTAGACAGCTGAGAACCGTTTTGCGCAAAAAAGCCCCGATGGCGAAAATGGCGATTGGGGCTTTCTTGTGCAAAACCACGTCTAGATTGGCACGGACACTTTTCCGCAAAAGGTGCTTTTGCACAAAAGCGTCCGTGCCAATCTAGACACTCTTTTCCACAAATGCTTTTAACAGAAAAACTTTTCCTTTAAAAGCATTTGCAGAAAATCATGCCAGTCTAGACGCAGCCATTGTGTCTTACGGTTGGACATTGGCAGAGTGAGAGGTATACTCTGTGTCTGCTGTTGTGACTGTAGAGCAGCCTCTCTGGACACTGGGGCCAGGGGACTTGAAGGAAAGGGCAGACCATTAGCCAGTGTTTCACCTGCTGTGCTCAAGTCTTTTGGTGAGCACATTGTGCAGTTGCAGTGAGCTTTCAAAATATGACCCATTTTGCATATAAGTAGGTCTACGATTTGTTATTCTTGCTATACCCACCAGTTTCTCTGAGCATTTTACAAGAGGGAGCCAGTCTGTCCATTATCTGTATACTGATCCATTTAAAAATAGGTAAAAACATTTCTGTCACGCAAGCGCTTTTTAAAAAAAGTGTCCTTCCCCCAACTTCTTTTCTGACTTTGGTTTGTTTTGTAAGTGATGTTCCGAAGAAAGTGTGGGACCTGTAGTTTGGCAGCAAAGCACGATCAACAGGATCCATTTGGAAATGAAAAAATGTGCAATATAGAAGGCTTAAGATGTGCTGAACGATTCCTCTGATGCTGTAAAAATCAGCTTTTTTGGGTGGGAGACTGCTGACCCACAGAAAAATCAGTCAGGGGCCACACACAAGTAGGAAGCAAAAAAGAGAAACCAAACCCTCACTGACGTGGCCCCTGATTGAGAAGGAGAAAGACACTCCCCATATTCCCCTCACACACCAGAGCCTATGCGGGCCCAAGCTAGTAGATTTTGTGTGCTCCAATCCCATGGTGGGCCAGCGGGGGGACTGGAGTGCCAGCACAGGCTCCCCATTGCTAGGGTACAACTCTGAGCCTCAGGGGCCAGATCCAGGAAAACCGGGGGCTGGATGCAACCTTATATTTTCCACCCCTGCTGTAAAATATGTGTGTGCCTTAGTTTGTGAAAAGAGAGTTGAGTAGAGTGGAAATATCATGGGCTGCAATAATAATTTAATGTTAATTCCTTCACAATGGAAGTAGGGATTTCCTTCCATCATTACTCCCGATGATGCTCAAAGTAGGGATGTTAAATTTAGATTAATTAACTAATCAAATAGTTGATGGGATTTCCATCAACTATTCAATTAGTCGATAAGAGCGCCTCCACCTTTGAACTCTAGCAAGAGCCCTGCCAGGCTCTTGCTACAGTTCAAAGTGGAAGCCCTGCAGGGAGCGCTGGCCAGCAGAGGACTGCCTGTGGGACTTTTGCTTTTGAAATGTACAAAGCCCCAGTGAGACTCTTGTACATTTCAAAAGCAGAATTACAGCAGAACTGGCGCAAGCAGAGACTGCTTCAGTCCCCACTGGTGCCGTTTCTGCTGTGCCTCTACCTCCCCTGCCCCCCGCGGAGACAGTGCTGGGGAGAACTGGCTTTTAAGCCAGCTCCCTCCCCCCCCCAGTACTGGCTCCTGTTCCCCCACTTGCTGCCTCTCTCTGATAGAGGCAGCAAGGGTGGGGGAAGCTACTAGTCGCATCACTAGGTGACTATCCGATAAGCATATGCTTATCAGATAGTTGACTAGTCACTTACAGCCCTAGCTCAAAGTGTTGCTGTTGTTAAGAAGATGATCAAATAATGCCTTGGAATTAAACACTTATGTGTGCATTTTCTCCCCTGGTACACCCTGTATCTTCCAAAATATATTTTTCCCCCTGTAAGGACAAAAACAAGTCTCTCTGTCTACTATCAACAGTGATGATTCAACATGGCTGCAGAACAGCCTCTTGAGTCATCAACAAAATTATCATTGATCTGTTTTCAGATTAGTTACTGGTGATGTTGAAAGTACAAGAGAGAGAGTTTGATTATCCTATACTAGGATGAGCTTGTAGTCCTGGCAGTAAGAAAATTCTTTCTTTGACATTATCAATTGAGCATATTATTACTCTGTATTGGAGAAAATAAATATGGAGCAGCAAGATGTCATTTTCCTTATCATAGCTAGACTTTCAAGATGAGAGAGCTGTGAATATTTGGCAGCTAGTGCTCAAATGGATGCACAAAGCAGCATAATAGAGTTGTCATTTCCAAGCAAACATACAAAACAAAACATGTTTGCAAATTAGAGTGCATTGTGTGATTCACAGAAGACTCTTTTTTTTTGTTCTTTTTAGACTGATGCCCTACAAGCATCACCTCTCTGTTTGCAACCCTGTATTACACTGTGGCTTGCTATGCTTCTTAAGGAGTGTAATTAAATTAAACTTTCAGTTAAATATGTTTACATTGTATGAAATTCTCAATTTTAAAGCATTGAACAGCTTTGTTTTGCCCATGTATATACATCTGGAAAATAATATTAATACAACTATATTTTTATTATTTTATAGCTATGAGAAACCTCCTCCAGGGCTAATTAAGGTTAGTAAATTGTAATAAAAGTTTGGTATTTAAAAGAAACTTTAAACAATGGATGGAATACCAGATTCTTTAAAGTCAATGGGAGTTTTTCCATTGGGCTTGGGGGGGGGGGGGAAGAGACCAGATTCAGTTTATCTGATTCCCTCCCTCCTTGTCATTAACATCACATTAAATTAGCCTCTGATCTTTTGTGGAATTCCTTTTACTAAATTCAAAGAGTCATAATTTAGAGTATGTCTAGACTACATGGCTCTGTCACCAGAACCATGTAGATTAGTTTACTAGACATACCCAAATGAAGTGGCGATTTAAATTAAAATGGCTGCTGCGCTGTGCTGATCAGCTGTTTGGCGGCACAGCGCAGTAGTCTGGACGCTCCACGGTCGACATCAAAGGCATTTGTTGACCGCCCCGCTATGCCTCGTGGCAATAGATCACCATATTCAGTTACAAACAAGAGAAAATAAAAGTTAAGTGTTTAATTCTTTTAATTTAAATCAGTTGCTGGACTAAATGGAACAGGAGGAAAGCAATTCAGCAAGAATATTCAGGATTGAGAAAAGTTAAGAGTAGCAAAAAAAGAAAAATGAATTAATGTTAGTAAAAAGGGTTAAAGGAATAAGTTATTTTATGAAAATACAGAAGGAAAGGAATATTAGGGAGAAAGTATGTACATTAGTAAAAAATGACATACCTATACACTGGGGTTATTTATTTTAAAATAAACTAGAAAAATAAGATTTTTATTTTGCTTACTTCTTCTATAGGAAGAGGAAACTAAACCAGAAGACTGTATCCCTGATGTACCAGGCAATGAACATGCCCGAGAATTCCTGGCTCATGCCCCAACTAAAGGACTCTGGATGCCATTGGGAAAAGAAGTCAAAGTTATGCAGTGTAAGTATGAGAAGCATCAAAATTTAATTGGACCTTTTTCTTTTACAAATCTTTTTACTTCAGGCAAAAAATCTTGGAGATAAGTGACTATACACAATAAAAGATGAATTCCAGATATATGGGCTTCAAATTGATATAATAGTAGCCAGTATCCTGAAGGATTTTGTAGATTTGCAGATTGAATTTAATTGTTTGTTTCTCTTTGCTCCAAGTACGTAAAGATATTTTCCATGAATGTTTTTAATCTGTGGTGTTGTGAGCTGACTCAGAAATTCAGGTTGCTTCTGTTTTATTAAAGGTTGGAGATGTAAACGTTATGGACACAGAACAGGAGATAAAGAATGCCCATTCTTTATTAAAGGCAATCAGAAATTGGAACAATTCAGAGTAGTAAGTACAAATATTTTAGTACTCACTGGGAGAAGGGGCCTGGGCTGGCAGGGAGGGGAGGAAGGAGCAGGGGCCCAGGCTGGCGGAGGGGAGGGGAAAGGGAGAAGGGACCCGGGCTGGCATGGCCACAGTCCAGCCCTCCCTGGTGGCCAGGGGGAGAGAGACAGAGTTGTCTACCACCTGCGAGAAGGGGGTTGGCAAGCGCAGCAAACAGGGAGCATAGTCTCCTAGTAGTCTATAAAGAATTTTCCATTGTATCTGGTATCATATAGATGCTGAAAACTGACCATAATCCTCTTATTAGAGAAAAATGTTTCTCTTTATACACAGTGATTGTATGTATTACTAATGTGCAGAAAATTTATTCTTTAAAACGGAAGATAATAATTTGTGCGTGTAAGTTTTAGGAATGTGAAAGGTTAACTGGTTACTGGTGGGGGCTGGAGCAACTACCTGTCTGCTGCAATTAGGGGACTGGTCCAGTGCCATAGGGGGCCCGCTGTGACCAGGGTCCGCTTTCATTGGGAGCAGCCTCTGTCCACAGGGAGCCCGGCTGCCCAGCAAGCAAGGGCTGTGCCAGTGGGGGCTGAGAACTGGCTGGTTAACTGATTAACCAGGATTTTACATCCCTGATAAATTTTCAATAAACTGTTCTAACCATTATATTTAATTAATCTTTTTCAATAGAGTTTTTGGTACATTGATATTTTAACAATGTTAAAATAATCAATGTTAATTTGCCCAGGTAACATCAAGAGATTTGGATTACCTCTGCGTGGAATGAATTTGGAGGCTCTGCCCTGAGGAGCCACAAGAAATTAGCAAAACAACAAGAAGTCTTTTGGCACTTCAAAGATTAAACACATTGATTTAGGCATAATCTTTCGTGGGCTGGAACCCACTTTGTCAGATGCATTCAGTTTGGCAGGCATTTATGCAGAGGTAAAGAGAAGTGTGTTACATTACTATGGGGAGGACCAGCCTTAATGAGGTCAGTTCAGTCCCGGGTGCGTGTGGCCCACTCCCAACAGATGATGAGAAGGTGTGAATACCATATAACAACTACATAAACTTGACACTATAAGACTGGGTCTGAATAGAGACTGGGAGTGGCTGACTACAGAAAGTAATTTCCCCTCTTTTGGGTATTCACATCTTCTCATCAGCTGTTGGAAGTGGGCCACACACTCCCTAAATGAATTGAGCTTCTTAGCACTGATCCTCCGCATAGTAATATAATATAGCCATCTTTGCTTGCGTATACATACCTACCAAACTGAAACTTCCATTTCAAGTTTCTGACAAAGTGGGCTCCAGCCCACAAAAGCTTATGCCCAGATAAATTTGTTAGTCTATAAGGTTAGCCACAGGACTCCTCGTTTTTGCTGAAACAGACTAATACGGCTACCCCTCTGTAACTTGTCACAACAAAGTAGGAAGATGTTTAGAGAGTGAATGATGCAGAAATTTTATGGGATTTAAGTATTGGTGCTTAGTACCTATTCTTTGGGTTAATGTGCAGGTGTCTTTGCAGTATAGCATAATCATAGAAATAGTGGCAGAGAAAAAATTAGATTGTTTTTATTATCAGAGGGCCTATGGATGCTATTTATGACTCAGAAACCCATTGTGTATGGGGCTGTATAAACACCTGAGCCCAAGAATTTAGACAAAAGACAATACAGGACACAATAGAGATAGTTGAGGAGTATAAAGAAATAATGAGACTATATTGTTCAATATGGAAGGCAGTGGTTTCAGCGCAGTGTACTATAGTCAGGGTGTTTGAGTCATTGCAGAAAAAGCGTATTTTGCGGGAGGATCATGAGGAAGTTTTGCATGTGGAGCATGTCGTAAGCATGAGAGGCAGCATGGGAGAAAGGAGTGTTGTGTTTTTTTGCATATTTAATAAGTGGTCTAAGCATTGTGAGCCAATCACAGATGGGAACTTGATATCTCAACAGTGAATGGGAGATGATAGAATTGGGGTAGAAGACAGTCTTGAAAGGGAAGGCAAGCAGCTTGTGTTTGATGCAGTATAAAAGAAGGAGCCAGTGGAGAGAGGCAGAGAGAGGAGAATGAACTTGGCTACAGCAGCAAGTGGGACAAGATTGCCTTTGTCAAGGTCAGTGGAAAGGATGTTGCAGTAAGCAAGATTTGAGATAAAACAGCCAGGACAAGAATTGTTGTTGTGTGGCTGGATCAGAAAAGTCATGACTTAGAGATGTCAGGCAAAAAGAATCTACAAGATTTAGATATTGCATGGATATAAGGACCTATTCAGTGTGGGTGTGACTGTATAGTTGAGAGCACGGTTAACTGATGAGCCTGGGATCATCGGTTAACCCTCTCAATGACACACAACACCTCCTCCCCCACCTCTATAACTTTTAAGCTGGCTTTCCCCACCTGCCAGCTCTGCGGAACCACCTCCCACTGCCCCCACTGCCTCCCATAGAGGCAGCAGAGGGGTGGGGCAAGAGCCGGTGCTCGCAGGGAGCCCCTGTGCTGCTGCTCCTCAGACAGAGGCAGCAGTGGGGAAGGAGGGGCAAGTGGGAGCCAGTATACATGGGGAGTTGGCTTCTGCGGAGTCACCTCTGCCCCACCCCCACCCTCCATGAGGCTCCTACAGAAGCAGCTAGCTGCGTGGAGCAGGGGAGCTGAGAGCCAGTGCTCATAGGGAGTTGGCTTTGGAGCTGGTTCCCTGTGCATACGGGCTCCTGCCGAGCTGACTGCCGCCTCTGCTTCTGATACAGAGGCAACAAAGAAGGGGGGAAATGGGAGCCTGGTGTTCACGAGAAGCTGTCTTAAAAGCTGCCTCCCCCACACACGTGTAAACATGTATGATGCCCAGGCTGTGGTTCTGAACTCGCAGGCCGGATGGTAATGTTGTCTCCAGTATTTGAAAAATGAAGAAATGGAGTGGGAAGGTTCAAATGTGTTATAGAGGCATAGTTAAGATTTTATTTTCAGGACTTCAGCAGCAGCTCTAATTTATTTATAAACATTTTGTCTTATATCACCATAATACTTGAATACCTGAAGAATCAGTTGTAGGAAGAGAAGTCTTGTGGGCAAGGACAGTCCTAGGCAGTCAGCAGTATGATCTTCAGATTAGAAATGCATAAACCTTACCTGATGCCAAAAATCAGTCCAAGTTTGCTAAAAGGTTTTCAACAATGTCAGCGCATCCTTGTGAATTGAGAGCTCACTGAGTACTAATTGGGATTCTTCCATTGGAATAAGTTTATTGTTAGGTTGGATTTTTTTAATGGTAGAAAACTGTCATGAATACTAGTGCCAGTAGTTGTCTTTTTTACTGATACTGGGTTTTCCCCTTCCTTTTTTCCAAAGGCGCATGAAGATCCCATGTATGATGTAATAAGGGAAAATAAGCGCCATGAAAAGGAAATGAGGTAAGTGTATCTCTGTAGTAAATTATTTTTAATGTAAATCTTTCATTTGATTTTATGCTATCAAAATAAGATCACATAGGCAAAATTTCTTTCAGGCTATGTCTACACTTGCAGCTTCTTGCGCGAGAAATATGCAAATGAGGCTAAGCATGGAATATTACCGAGCCTCATTTGCATACCTAATGAGCCGCCATTTTTGCAGAAGAGGCTCTTGCGCCAGAAGGAGCTGTCTACACTGCCCCTTCTTGCGCAACAAAAACCCTCTTGCGCAATAACACTACGCCGATTATTTTCAGGAATAACCTTATTAGGTATGCAAATGAGGCTCAGCGATATTCCATGCTTAGCCTCATTTGCATATTTCTCACACAAGAAGCCACGAGTGTAGACATAGCCTCACTGTTCAGCTCACCACTTCCAAATAAAAGTTGGTTTTTTTGTGTGTGTTAAGCTTTATATTTTAATAAATAGCTAATGCCAAAGCAGAGGTGTCATTTCTCCCTTTTTAATAAATACTTATTTTATTTTCTGGTCATAAATTTAAGTGATTTATATTCAATGATTCCTAGAACTGTATGTTCAAAAAGGAGACGTTCCTTTTTGCCAACAGTTTCAAACCTGGAAGTCTCCTAAATTTATTTTTTTACATCTTTAATAAAAATTGTCTGATTTTCAGAGGTCCTGAGCACTTAGAACTCCAGTGGACTTTAGTGATATTTCTCAGTTCTTGAATCCAGATTGATTTTATTTAGACACCTCAGCCCTGGTCTATATTGGGGAGTTATTTCGAAGTAACCCCCCTTGTGTCGAAATAATAAGTGGAGCGTCCACACTACCATTTTGAAATAACAGGCTAGTTATTTCAAAACCTGTACTCCTGGTTTCCTCAGGGAATAACACTTATTTCAGAATTGTTACTTTGAAATAGCATTAGTGTGGACAATTCAGTGCTGCTAATTCAAAATAAGTGGCCTACAGAGACCTCTCACAGCTGCATTTCTGATTGCTCTGGCTACACTTGGCATCTCCACTGCTCCCCTTCTCCTGCAGAGCTTGAAATTCCAGGCTGCAGGAAAAGGACTTGTGCCACGTGGCTAGCCCTGTGCCACACAGCAGCATCCCAGGTAGCCACGAGCGACCCCAATGCTCCCTCAGTCTGCCAACACTCCTTCTGCTCCCTTGGCTGCTACTGGCCAGAGATGCAGGAAAGCTCTAGTGTGGACAAGTGCAGAGATCCTGGACTTCATCGCGGTCTGGGAGGAGGAGACCAACTTCCAGGATCTCCATACCAGGAAAAGGAATGCGGACATGTTCAGCCAGATCACTGCCAGCCTGGCTGACAAAGGCCACAACTGGACCCTGGACCAGGTGCACGTGAAGGTGAAGGAAGGATCTCTGGCAGGCCTATCACAAGGCCAAGGAGCAGAGCGGATGCTCTGGGGTGGCACCATACAGCTGTCGGTACTTTGACCAGCTGGATGCTATCTTGGAAGGAGGGCCAGTCACCTCCACCCCCTTTGTGATGGAGTCTGTCCAGGACACACCTGGCATCCTGGATTCAAAGGAGCAGCTGCAGGGAGCCTGGAGTCAGCTGGGGACTATTACTGGCCTAAACCTCAACACAGGAATACACCACGCACAGGTGGCCCACGGAAATAGCCAGCTAGCTAGACTCTTGCTGCTATACTCCCGATGATGACAATGGGTCAACCAACTTCTCACACACTAATACCAAACAGACAGACTTGGGTAGACAGAAAAGACAACAGGTTAGCTCCACACGATCCGGTAGGTACGAACCCACAGAAAGAATGAACCTGAACTTCTCAGAACCAAAGGGTTTATTGCCTCAAAGGCGGGAAAAACTGCAGAGGGCTGAGTGCACTTATTGGTGACGTGTGCACATCGGTTACCTAGGGTGGTATGCAAATCTAAAGTGCCAAGTGCATAACAGGTGGTGTGCATAGCCTTAGTGTGTCATGTGCACACTGTTAGAATGGGGTATGCAGACTAGTAATGAGTGCAAAGCGTACATTAGGCAGGAAATCTGAGGCCAGAAACCCTAATCTTTGCCTCTTCACCTAAAATGGAACCCATTTATGACTCCATTTTGTATTTACCACCACATCACAATACATATTCAAAACCCATGGTAACACAGTGTAGCCTGAGTCCTCCATGATCCCGGGATCTATGGCTCTGAAATGTAAAAGAACCCCTGCTGGGGACTCTTATGCATTTAAAAGAAAGCACCCACATGCAGCCCAGAGTCAGCAGGACTTTCCACTGGCCCCAGGCTATTCGTGCAGCCCGAAGTCAACAGGACTTCCTGCTGGTTCCGGGCTATATGTGGAGTCCCACTGGGGCTCTTGTACATTTCAAAGGAGGAATGTGGAAGTGCCTATAGACTAGTCAAAAAACTATCCGATAAGCAAATGCTTATCAGATAGTCGACTAGTCAACTAGTCTTTAACATCCTTAACGCTGATAGTGCAGTCAGGGAAAAAAGTGCCAGTATGCATCTTTCAGAACAAGTAGGAGTTCCAAAAAATACGGGCATCATGCGCCTTCCCCGAGCAGCCAACGTTGATGTTGGTGAAGTGTCCCTTGTAATCCACAACGGCTTGCAGCACCATAGAGAAGTACCCCTTTCTGTTTACATAGTCTGATACATGGTGGTCAGGGGCCAGGATGAGGATGTAAGTGTCATCTATGGGCCCCCCTTGCAGTTCGGGAAACCTATCCTAGCAAAACTATCCATGATGAGGTCCACGTTGCCCAGAGTGACAGTGTTCTGTGGCAGCACATGGTTGATGGCCTTCACTACTTGTATGAACACGGCCCTAACTCTGGATTTCCCCACGCCAAATTGGTCCCCGATAGAGTGGTAGCTGTCTGACGTAGCAAGTTTCCACAGAGTGATGGCCACACACTTCTGCGCGGGGATGGCCTGTCGCCTCAGGGCAGGGGGCAAGCCACTCACAGAGCTCCAGGATGGTGTTCTTCTGTATGCAGAAGTTTTGGAGCCACTGCTGGTTGTTCCATCGCCACAGGACAATGCGGTCCCACCAGTCCAAACTTTCTCCTTCCACCAGAAGCGGCATTCCACAGTGTCTAGGAGATTGAAGGGCATGTGCAGGAGCAGAAGTGCCAGGACTTGGATGATTAGAGCCTGCGGTCCGGGCTGATCCTCATTCAAAGTGCCCACATGCTACTCCAGCAGGAAGTACTGCACCATGAGGTGCAGTACAAGGCCCATGAGCCTGGAACTGCTTTGCAGCAGCTCTGGCTCCGTGCTTTGAGTGCTATGGCATCCACAAGGGCAACCAAGGCACACTGCATCCATTTTGTGTCCCATGACAGCTGAGGCAGTGGAGGGGTGGAGTATGAGACACAGCCATAGGGAGGAGCCCCTGAAAGCACGCATCACAGCTTGCCTGCCCAAGCAGCCACAGGAAGTGTCCACCCTCTTGGTGCCCTCCCCGGAGTGCTTCCGGGGGCTCTAAGTCTGAGGCAGGCTCCAATCAGCATGAAGCTATTTTGAAATAGTTCTGACTAATTTTGATGCTCCCTTGTAGTGTGGACATGCTATATCAATTTTGTTATTTTGAGAGTTATTTCAAATTTAGTTATTTAGAAATAATTTCCTAGTGTAGGCATGCCCTCAATAAGGATATAGGAAGCTAGCTATGGGCACCTATGATTGAAAAATGTGCCTTTTATTCCTAATATTGGTTATCCAATAAATATGGCAGCAGCATTTAATTCTCTTTCTTGTTCCTTGCAATGAGCGGAGTCCCTGATGAGCAGGGCTCGCTGATCCCAGCAAGCCCCGCTCGCCAATCACGCTGTCCGGCGTTCTGCGCATGCGCAGATCGCCCGAACCCAGCTCTTCCAGGATGTAATGTGCTCGCCACGGGTGAGTAGATTACATAGATTGTTGAGCCCTACTGTTGAGCAATGTACAAGCGAGATTTGGAGAAAGGGCGCAGTGTAGTTGTAAGTCACCAGGTTCATGTGTTTAAAAACGTACATACCACGTTGAAATAGATTATTGCCAAATAGAAGTAATCAAGCAAGCAAGGAGGCTTTCCTTAGCAATTAAAAATTCATCCAAACATGGAATTGAATGGGGAGGGGGTTGCCTCAGAAACTGTTTTGCTAAAAGAAAACCTGCTTTTTGTGTCATTGATACCAGTGATTTCACCCTCTCCATCATTGTCTCAGAACCTCATAACTTCAGCTCCAGATTCATCTGCATGTCAGTTAGTAGTACTGTATCTATAGTAATAAAAGGGTCCAGGAGCATACTAATAGCTGTTGTTTCTAAAATAAAGACATCAAATAACTGCTTTTGCTGGATAGTAGTAGACCTCCTTATTTACGAACCCAACCACAAGATAGAAAAACCCACGAGTGGAGCAAATGCCTGGCTGAACACAGGAGCATGGTATCTGCCTTAGAAATCCATAAGTTGGACTCTGACTGAACATTGAAAGTAGTGATTGGCAGAGCCAAGGATACTCCCCCAAGAGAACCTGATGACCTGTTCTCACAAGTCTAGTACATTGTTCATTTTTTGGGTGGTAGGTGAGTTATTACTGCTGCACGTATATAGAGAGAAAGGATTTGCTTTCCCATTAATGTTTGTGTATTTAGGATACAGCAATTGAAGCAACTGCTGGAAGATTCTACTTCAGATGAAGATGGAAGTAGTGGCAGCTCCAGTTCCTCAGAATGTAAAGAGAAACAGAAGAAGAAGAAAAAGAAGGAGAAAAAGAAAAAAGAAAAAAAGAAGAAAAAGAAAAGAAAGCATAAATCTTCTAAATTAAATGAGAAGTCAGAGTGATTGACAGCAATCATCTGCTGTGTGTTTCTTGACCCCAGATTGTGAACTGTAAGAACACATCCAAAGAATGAGGAAGAAACAACCAAAAAAGGGCTTTGTAAGCGAACATACACATGGGTACATCTAATATCCCATTTGTGCCATCCTTTTCTGCCTCCCTGCAGTGGTGCATCAAGCAAGGGATGAGCTCAGTTATGGCTCATTAACAAGGAATTATTTTTCTTTTGCATAGCTATGTTCTGTGAAAGACAGGCTGATTATCTAACCTGATGGCTGATAAGAGTGAGGTTTTATTTGCCACCTGTTAAACAGCCAGAAAAACAGCCACCACCTAAAGGACTGTTTACAGGGTACAGTTGAGCCCTGTAGTTTACACCATAAAACAACTGCACACAAAGCTTCACTATAATGGGAATTGCAGTTTGTACTGTGCAAAGCATTGAAACATTTTAGGACTTCCTGTTTACAGCAAACAACATTGAACATTATGTCCAAGCTAAGCATAATCAGGCTGTACTGTATCTTCCCTGCATGTTGATGTTCTCTGAGATCATCACAGTTGGCAGCTAGAAGGCTTTAAAATGTGTAAGATAAGGAGAAAACTATTAATGTTAATGAAGGGGTTTTACTTTAAAACAAAAAATGTATTGTTAGCAGGATTCATTTTTATTTATTTGAACTGAAGCATAGCTCAGTTCTGTAATTTCAACATTACTTCTGAGCCTCACTCTGCAACATTAGCCACCATCTATTCATTAAAACTAATCCTCTGAACTACAGAACTGGGCTTCAACTGTGAAAATCTCTTGGTAACTAATAATTAAAAAACCCACTGATTAAAAACTCATTGTAGTTGCTTTGAAAGGAGTTTTCATGTTTGAAACGGAATGGATAATAATGTTATGAGCATCATTCACTAAGTTGTACCGATACATGTTTGTTTTTAAAAAGGTTTGGGGAAGTAACTTTATATGTTACATAGTTAGTAAAATATTTAATGCAGTAATATTTTGTGAATCGTGAATATGGAAAAATATAAAGAATATTCTAGTATCAATATATGGAAGGAATCCCAATTGTTTTGCAAGTATATGCACATAGTATGACAGAAATGCAGCAAAGTAAAAGCAGTGTGGAAGAAGGGAAACTTTCCTCAAGGACATGAGGATAACAGCCTACTTTTACAAAGAGGTCCATTCATTAAAATCTGAGCATACACAAGGCAATTGGGCTGTCAAGGTAACCCTAAAACTAGCCCCCCCAGGGCTTACACTAAGCAGCTATCACATAGTAAAGCTACAACTGCCTTGTCTTTGGTAAGTACGAAATCCTGACAGTGTTGGCTTTAGTGATGGCTAGATGTCCCCCTGGCATTATAATACAGGTTAAAAATTCACTTTTCTGTCAAATTAGCAGGAAAGCTCTCTCTGCCTATAATGAAGGGAAGGAGATCAGAATGGTGACCTTTTAACAAAATTTTTTTTTAGCCTTCCTGCATAATTTTCAGATATTAGAATTAATTGTCTAAACAATCTGAATAAATATTGAGAGGGGAATTTCACTAAGTAGATCAAGTCTGCATCAGAGCATCCAGTTGCTTGCTTACTTGTAGCACAGTTGCGGAAAGGTAGATTTGAGAAGCAACTACACCACACACAAGGTTCTGGGAGAGATCTTGTAACAATTCCATAGATTTCTACCACTGGCTACAGCAAAGCCAACCTTTAAAAGGTAACAAATCTCCTGAAAACCATATTAAAGTTGCTTTATAAAACTTCATCTCCTTTATAAATTCATCCCATCAGCTGGTGCTGATTTCTTTTCTTCCACTATAAGGATTAAACTTTCTTAAACATTTAGTTTTAATATATTTCCTTAAAATATTTTAGATTTTAACCTAACTACACTCTTTGGCGACATCTACACTGTAGGCTTCTTGCACAAGTGTATCCACACTGCTATATGCTTTTGTGCAAAAGATGTGCTTTTGTGCAAGAGAGCATCCACACTGTCATGGATGCTCCTGTGCAAGAAAGCTCTGATGGCCATTCACAGAATGGCCATCAGAGCACCTGTACTTTTCCCAATAGGGGTTTCTTGCGCACAAAACCCCTGGTGTCCATCCACACACGCCTTTTTGTGCAAAAAGGCTTATTCCTTGTAGAAAGAGGAATAACTCTTGCATAAAAAGCCCTGTCTTCTGATGATCTACTGTACTTTTTCTTACTCAAAAATGCGCTTGTATTGTGGACACTGAGTTTCCGTGCAAGAACAGCTGTTTTTGTGCAAAAATTCTGCAGTGTGGATGTAGTCTTTTTTTTTTTTTTTTTACATTTGGCCATATAGCAGCAGAATAATTAGTTATTGTTCTATAGGCAATGAGACTGTTCTCCCTTTCTCACACTGTAACACTAGTGATTGAAAAGAAGTCTCAGTAAGCAAACAATTGTTACTAGGAATCAACGGGTGGTAGTTTATAATGTGACTTCTCCCAAGATGTGTTGTCAGGCCATTGCTATTTACAGTTTTAATCCATGATCATAAGCTAAAGGAAAGTCAGTATGACACTGTTAAAAAAAAAAAAAAAAGATTGTGATGCATTAACAGGAATGTTGTGAGTAAGACGTGAGAAGTCATTCTTCTACTCTATGCTGATTAAGCCTTAGAGTATTGTGTCCAGTTCTGGGTACCACATTTCAAGAAAGACGTGGAGAAATTGGAGGTGGTCCAGAGCAGAGCAACATAAATGATTAAGGTCTAGAAAACATGAGCGATGAAGACTGAAAGAATTGGGCTTATTTAGTTTAGAAAAGAGCAGTCAGAGGGGACATAACTGTTTTCAAGTATCTAAAAGTGTTACAAGGAGGGGAGAAAAAAAATGTTCTCCTTGGCCTCTGATGATAGGACAAGAAGCAATGGGCTTAAATTGCAGCAAGGGAGATTTAGGTTGGACATTAGGAAAAACTTCCTGTCAGGGTGGTTAAACATGGGAATTACATGCCAAGAGAGGTTGTGGAGCAGGTTAAATAGGCATTTGTCAGGGATGATGTAGAACAGGCTACTCCACGTTGGGAGCCCTGGGGGGGCCACAACTTAAGGGTGGTTGAATATACATTGAAATGGATTCCTTCACGTTGTATTCGTTCTCATCAAAGATTAAACCTTAAGCCCCCAGTGCTGGGCCCAAATGTGGCCACTGTAAGCCGGTCTGTACCGCTTAGGCTCTGCCCACAAGGCTAAGCAGCCAGCACTTCCCACAATGCCCCACTCCTCCCAGCACCTCTTTGCTGGGGGCTAGAAATACTGACACCATGTACCTGTGTGTTCCAACCAACTCATCCACTTGCGTCTTTCAGTGCTCACCCTGCCTGGGATATGGCTTGCTGTTGTGGAGCATATTCCAAATGAGGCCCTGTGCAAAGGACTCCACCCATGGGCCATGTGTTGAACCCTGCATAAACCCAAACTGGCCTATGGGCCACAAACATGGGGCCTGCGTGTTGAGTAACCCTGCTCTAGAAGGTGCTTGGTCCTGCGGGGAGGGTAGTGGACTGGACTCAATAGCCTCACGGTCCCTTCCTGTTCTAGTATATTAGAATGTTAACATCAAAATGTAATGTACAAGGTTGTCTAATTCAGTCATGTCTGGCACAAGGCAGGAATTCCTGCATTAGGTGCTCTGGTTTGGTATGCAGGTCAGAATAGATAAGTTACATAGCCTGAAAGGAGGCCAAGCAAGAACAAAACAATTAAACTGTTCCATAAAGTGTTAAACTGAGCAACCGTCATCTGAGATTAACTATTTACTTAAGGCACATAATTTCAGTGTCTAAATTACCAAGATAATAAATTTCTTTCCTCCAGTGCATGTAGATTCTGGTTTTATCAGGTTACAGTAAATGCTAGTATTCTGAAACTTTCACATGACTAGACAAATCAAGAGAACTGTAGCTATAACATGTCTACCACGCCATAGCTATGACAGGAGTCATTTTAGCAAGTTACTTGGGTCTGATCCGCTAAAAATTTCTCTTCCTAAACAGTTCGGCACTACCACGGAATTCTAGAGACAAAAGATCCTTGGAGGAGGGGTATGTAGGTTCTGTATGCACTCACAAGTCAGTGCTGTTAAATTATTGTTATTACAGGCAGTCCCCGGGTTCCGTACAAGATAAGAACAAACCTACAGTCCCTAAGTTGAATTTGTATGTAAGTCAGAACTGGCATCCAGATTCAGCCGCTGCTGAAACTGACCAGAGGCTGACTACAGGAAGCCCGAGGCAGAGTTGCTCTGCCCTCGGCTTCCTGGAATCAGCCGCTGATCAGTTTCAACATCAGCTGAATCTGGACGCCTGGGACAGAGCAGTTGGGGCGCTGCCGGATAGGTCCCCGCAGCGCTGCACCCCAGCAGCTCTACCCCAGGTGTCCCCAAGTCAGCCGCTGCTGAAACTGATCAGCGGCTGATTCCAGGAAGCCCAGGGCAGAGCAACTCTACCTCTGTCTTGGTAATTTAGACACTGAAATTATGTGCCTTAAGTAAATAGTTAATCTCAGATGACGGTTGCTCAGTTTAACACTTTATGGAACAGTTTAATTGTTTTGTTCCTGTAGTCAGCCGCTGGTCAGTTTCAGCAGCAGCTGACTTGGGGACACCTGGGGTAGAGCTGCTGGGGTGCAGCGCTGCGGGGACCTATCCGGCAGCGCCCCAACTGCTCTGTCCCAGGCGTCCAGATTCAGCTGATGTTGAAACTGATCAGCGGCTGGTTCCATGCAGCCCAGGGCAGAGCAACTCTGCCTCGGGCTTCCTGTAGTCAGCATCTGGTCAGTTTCAGCCGC